ATCAATATCTGCTAGCCATGAAACAGTATACTCATTCATTAATTTATTACACTCAGTAGTTCATTGATTATTTACTAACATATGTTTATATGTTATATTAGAATATATAATATAGAAATATATTAGAATAATTTCGATACTGTGGAGTCTTCTCTGACTGTCTTGTCTGATGTACGGTAGAAGTAAGTCACTCGGGCGTCCTGCTGCACGCACCTATAATTCCTTATAGAACTCTAACTAGAGAAAGGGCTTTTATTAATAACGCCTCGTTTAGAGGGGCAATAAGATCGATGTTGGATGCCAGCGTTTAATGTGGGACGAAGGAATTAAGAGCGTTCATCGAGTCTGTTCTATTTTGCTGATTATAATTTAGCTGTTAGATGGGAGGTAATGTCAATGTTCATCTTAAATCGAAGTAAAAGTCTCTAAAATTCTAACCGTGAATATTTAAATTGAAAAGAGACATGACATATCAACAGACAGCGTTCGCTGATTTTGCAGAAAATTGCACGCGTTCGATTTAAGGCCCGTCTGTCCAACCTTTACAATGAAATATATCATACAGGTTTTGAACGCTGTATACATAGGCGCCCATGCCTTTCGCACCGGTAGCCTTCCTATCATGGGCTATGATATTCACTGATGGAACGATAATTGTTTATGGGGTAAGTTCCATAAAGCGCTATGTTCCTGACGTATTTCCCCATCAACCCTGTGGAAAACGCTGCGCACAATTTACTTCCCATAACTTAACGTAAGAAACTTATAGTTCAATGGTAATAATGATATAAACCCACTATTATGATTATAGTTTAATTGGCTCTATTCAAAACTATGCGGCTCTCGTTGCCGGTTCGTACAATTTAGTCTAGCCCTATTTATTATGAACACTTGTTACAAATGTTTCTCTATTTGGTTTGGAGGGTAGGTCCTTGTTTCTGGTCACGAAGGACCCCGATGGATTGCTGCCTTGAATCCTTTAAAAGATATGTAAATATTAGAAAACAATTCGTATGAATAAGGTAAATATCATTTTACGCAGACGTGTTATGTCGTGAGTCTAGAATCAGGTGATGTCCAGAGCCTTTGAAATTAAGTTTGAAGATTATGATGCAGAAGTATGAAGTACATTATTAATAATCCTCTTGTAATTGTCAGCCAATTTATTAAAAACCAGAAGTGTATAAATGGCTATCTTTATTCTATCAAACATTTTCACACCGAAAAGAAGGAATATGCGATTATCATGACCCGATATGGATATAGCAATTGTGATCAGTGTCAAGCTTATGCATATTGATGGAAACGGCTAAAACAAATTCTACTCTTTGGGCTCCTTTTGGCGACTATCCAGGATTCTGCTGCTGCGCGGTTAAGGATCATCTAAAAGAAAGGAGAAGGATTGGCCAAATCATATCTGCCTCATTATGCTTCCATCAAAAATGACTGCTGGGGTTAGCCTACAACAGTCTTATACCCGCCCAACAAATCAGCGAGAGCTGCTTTCGAAACTATGGAAGTAGGTCTAGAGATAGAAGGAAACTAAACACTTCGAAATTCAATTAAGAGCTACGCAATAAACGAGCACTATATTTTATAATAGATATCTTCGAATGAGCTATTCGATCGAAGAAGGTAATTTTACGTAATATAGTAATACCATTTATTAGAAAATATAAAAAATACTCTAAATGTGTATCGTAGTATTGTTGTTATATTCAAATTGGCAGCCGCATTAATATTAAAATGTTCATAGAATGCTCTAGATAACTCCCAGCTGATTGTTTCCCTTTATTTAACAAGAACGTTTGGTTGTTTGTTTGGTAATTTGTTTCTTCCGACGATTATTCAAAAGTCCCAATTTTCGTTCGGAGTGGACCTGACCGGCCAGCCTTATCTTTGTCGTTCTGCCCTTGCCTCGGTTGGCCTATATCGCTATTAGGACTGCTGCACATAACTGTGCATGGGCTAGCATACCTACCTCATTTCTCCGTTCCTATCACTAATAGCTCATGGCTATAACAACGGATCATTGAAGTGTGCTTAGGATAACGTCCCTAAATCGAATCCTACTTCGAAAAATGCTTCTTCTGCTTGGCAAATACTTACGAAGCGGAGTGCTTATATGCACCAAAATCGAATAGTAGCCTCGTAAAACCCCCAAGGTTTGTTTAGGGCAAAAGCGATCGATTCCATGTTTTATAATTGTTTTTCTAGCAAATGAGTGAATTTAGGGCTTCAGAAATACACGTACATGTCAATTATCAAAGCCGCAACTATCGATCTTTATAATAGGTCCATCGATTATTTCTATCGGCATTACATCATTTTCGGATAAATCTTCGCTCAATGAGTGCGCTAAGCCGGCTATTGTCATTGGTTCATTTCGCCCGAACGGCTCTTGTGGGTACGCTGGAAACAACCGACTGCACGAGCTTTAAGACCCCCGCTCCGGATGATGCTACGTACACCCTGGAGGAGAGGAAACTTAATCGACCATCTGAAATTTCGTAAACTCAAAGAAATAAATTAAGCAGACGATTTAAGAGGAAGAAATTATCATTTGCACTTACAATGGAACTATACGGAAAAGATGTAACAATTGAAGAATACCATCATGTAAAGAGGGGTAGTGTGCTCGATTGTTATATTTGGCCGACTCGTCATAGAAAAAGAATATAATACCTTCAAAGGTATTTTATTATTGTGTTTAAGATACCATCCTCAATTGAGAGTCGGGCAGATTTCTTTGGGCACAACTTTCTCAGAATTGTTGCATACGACAGAAGAGCGTCGAGATTGTTACTGATCGTTAAATAAAAGAAATAGGAAACAATATCTGAATTTGCGGAAGGTACAAGTTTAACTTTTCAACACGCTTCATAATAAACGATTTAAGCTCAAAACGTAAATTGTCACTGCGAGCGCCAGTAAAACAGTTTCTGTGCATATATTTAAAGGGCTTCATACATTTATAGCATATTGTTATAGTAAATGTATTTCTCGCTCTCGTCGTATATAACATTCCCCAGCCTGCCGGTTAACTGTTAGTGGTCAGCGGTCGTTGATGTGATATACAGGTGTATTTCAGTTAAGTCTTTCGAGTTTCACGTCTTTAGGGGAGGTCCTGCTACACTGCCTGGATTCCTAGGTAGGCAACTATTAGGGTCACCTTGTGGAAGCGGGTGGAAGTGTCCGTATATCGACACTTGCCACCATCACTTGTTGTATCTTGTCCGTGCTGTTCTTTGTAAAGTTATTGGAACCAGATACTTAAAGCTGGTTACATAAATCAAGACTCATCCGCTTGGGTAGAGCGTAAGAGCGAGACGGTTTCTGCGGCGAAAGTCTTTGGCCTAGATTTTGTCCATATTGATCGTAGGTCCCGTCTCATCCACGTACCACGCGGAGAGAGTTTGTTGAAGGAACGAGAAACGGTAGATCCAGCTTATCACTGTGTATTACGCCAGTTGATTAGAGGAATAGTTCAAACCGGGCTACTTTATCATCTCTGTTAACTGAATTTTCTTGTAAAATTTCTGTCCTGATCAGATGCAGCATCATCCGAACGATTTCGCATTGTATAAACTTCACCAATATTCTCTCTGGGAGCACGACACTGATTGCCGATTTAAAATCCACGAATCCTGTGTAAAGATGTCTGACAATAGATACAATGTATTTTCTGGAATAGTGTATCACATGCATAAGGATAGCGTCGTGGGCGGAAACCGTGATGTTAAGTTAAGATACATGAACAAACTCCTAGAAACTTTGTAAGACGCCGTATGACACGATCAGCACAAAGCCTGTAACGACGGCTTTTTGTCACGATCTTACTTTGTGAACATGAGTAGTGCGCGTTGATCATTTCTTTTGGGCATAACCCTCAGGAGGGCGTCACTCGAATTCGTTGGCAGACGTCCATGTTACAAGCAAGCGAAGAGTAGACTTGTCAAGCAGGGAAATATGTCGGCCCCTTCTTTCAAATGTTCACTGCGGATCAGGCCAAGTATTGCTGCTTTATCTGACTCTCACTGCTCCTCGAAACGCAACATTTCAAGCTGAAGAAGTCTGTTCACTGCGCACATCGTGGACGTTTGTTTGTTTCATCCGTTATCGTACAAAGGCGCGCGGTCGGTGACAATTTCAAATTCGCCGCCGCGTACGTATTTTTGGTAGCCATGGAATTCATAGAGTATGATAGAAATCTTTTCTCCCTGTGCGTAACTATTCGTATGGCTCTCTTCCTTTTTATATCGCTAACTTGTCTTCCTCTAGCGCAGGCTACTACAGATGAGTCGACTCGAAGCTTTTTGAGAGTGGCCTCACGTCCGGGAGACGTTTTGTTAGTTCCTTTGTGTGATATAGTGGAGCAAACACCAGCTTACAATGTTATATTACGGGCATTATTAGTACAATCTTAGGTAAATTACCGACCATCTGAGCACCTCGATCAAAATCTTGCCTACTTCTGTTACTTTACTATTGTTACCTTGTTCGTTTCGCAGCCTTATCCATTTACCGCTATGATTCAATTATCTTTAGGTAAATTACCTTAATTTTGATTATTTTATGCAAATCGGAGGCCAATTGAAAAACCACGGACGTAAGTAATCTTCAAGTCCCTTCGTAGAAAAACATACTATCTATCCCGCTTAATAGGAAAAAAAAAAATCTTCTTTTTGTAAAATTTAATTCTATCTTTTTATCTAGAGTTAAAAAGAAAGCTAACTTTTGCATTCGTGTATTTTACGTATTTTTGACCGTCATTTCATCGGAAAAATTTGCAAAAAACTTTTCTTTAACCTCTTTGTAATAGAGTCTGCCAGATTTTTCTTCGACTCGTTCCTTGATATCAGAACGAGAATTGCCCTCCCTCAGGAAAGCATGGCAACAAGGGCCAACCTGCATCTGCAGATAGACGTAACGAATTATCAAGTTGCCATGGAGGACTGCGCCAACGACCAGTGAAAACGTTCTAGAACTACTGCAGCCAACGCTAAGAGAGCTGCTACCGATCTGGCCCAAGACGTTTGTAAATATTTTACCTCCGAAAAGCCTCAGCCTCCGTTGCAGGTCAGCTTCGTGAAATCCTCAGGCCAAGATTAATCCGATTCTTAAAGCCGCAGGGATGCTTGGCGCCACCTACCTCATCGCGGTCTAATGTTTTTCCAGCAACAGTTGTTTTACGGTTCCTCTTTACCATAACCCCTTACGCTCCGAGCACCATCGTGAGGCATCATCTGACCAAGATGGCTGTTGGCTAGCAGTCGATTCTGGAATCGGGGTCGAACCATTTGTCGAGTCGGAAAGACGCTAGGGGTTACTTAGAAAAATTCGAAAAGCACGGCAACCAAAGGGGCGGAAGCCTCTCCCATGACACTTGGATCTGAAAATTCTAAATAAGCTTGCTATCGAAGTGCTGTCTACGCTGAATTTTATCGATATTGAAAACTACACAGAAGCTCTACAGAAGAAGAAACACAGATGATGTAGCAGTTCTTACAGCATCATCGTGCTTGGACTTTCAGTTACCTATGTTTTAACGTACTCTGTTAGCTTACCAGTAGAACCCAGAACGATTGTAGGCTCTTTACAGTTTGCAACGAGACCTCTTGTAGGCCATCGCTATATTCCTAGTCATTCCTAAGTAACGGGGCGCCTTATTAATTATTTCCCAATGTTGTGGCGCAGCACAGAGTTGCATGGGGATGCCGCTCAAATGCTTCATAATTGTTACCCATCACACTTGTGCGTTTTTTTCTAATAAAAACTAATTAGCATACAAAGTCATAGCAACATGTTTGCTGTTTCAGAGTAAACCCATAGACTTTTATATGATGTTAGAACAAGATAAACTTACTAATGCTCTCGATATATTTCGCGAGAGCGGTAGGTACATTTAAAAGCAGTTGGCAGAATTACGAAATTTATCTTCACAGCACTAAGTACGTTTAATCGCCTTCTCTTGATTCACGCGTATACATATTATAAATCAAACGGTACACAGAAATTTCATAAATAGAAAATGGTTAAACTGTTGTTAAACAGATCTTTAATTAGAATTATTCGTGCGACAGTGTGTTTCATCTTGAAAGGTACAATCAGTCTCTCCCTGCCTTTATCCGGTGATTTTTCTGCATCTGCCATTGTGCTGCCCTAAAGTCGTTCATCGCGTAAGGCAGTTGTCAGTGTTTTATACGAAACCAGCTACCTTGCCAGCAGCGCGAGCTTGCTATTGTTTTTTTGTTTCGCAGATGCTACCGGAATGATACTTTATCCACCTGCTTCAGGAAATCCAGTTTTACGAGCGTTTATAAAAAAGAAAATCAAACTATCAGATCGACCCACAAGAAATGATTGAATTAAATGTTAGCAACTGTAGATTTATTGAGCAGTCGTCAGTCGTTGACGAAGGGCAATATGCTTTAAAGGAAAGGCAAGCCGTACGTATGATCCAAGCTGGACAAATGCTTTTTCTCTACAATTAAAAGATCATAATTGGTCTTGTAACCTATATCCAACTGAAGAGATTAAAAGACCGATAAACTCACTGGACAATTGACAGGCGCTTATTTCTCCCTATATATCGACCAACCGCCTTGGACACGAATCCTTTTGTATGAGTCCTAATCATTGTTTCAGTGGAGCAGTGAAGCAATCCACTGTCCCGGAAAGACTGTCTCCAATAAGTTTTTCCTTTGTCTTTTTTACATTACACCGCACAACAAAAGCCTAGTTGCACCTTTTATAAGGCCATATTCATACACCGACGATATTAAGTTACGCGTTTCCTATACTAAGGAAAGAGTTGATTACCCACATATCTTATACAACGCATGCGCAATGGTGCAATAATAATGATGTGATTGTTTCTAATGCGCGATCTCCTGCTCGAGTGATAGGAGCTAATGTAATTTTAGTGGAGACGTCATGCCCGTGCTTAAGTCGATAAAGGGTTTCAGAACGATGTTACCTTAAAGCCACTTTTGAATTTTATCATCCGCATTATACGAAGTCCACTATGCTGGTTTGCAATGTAACACTTTTTTTTTTCATTTCAAGGAAAATTAACATGTTTCCATCAAGTAAACACACAATATAGTAAATACGCTAATTGGAAAGAGCTGATTAACTTACGCTAAATATTTATTTACTTACGTCGAAGCATTGACGTAGACCTCTACTTTACACGGCTGACACCGGCACAAACGAACTTGTTCACCCCAGTTACATTCCCGTTCACATAAGCTTCGTGTCATGATCAAGACGCAATTTACGGTGGAAGAACTAGTTAGTGCTGTAGCCCATCAAAATATTTCTGTTGTATTTTTCAGCATCGTACGTCGAGGTATTCTCAGGTCGTAAGAAAGCAATCTTTTGTACAGCGAAAAACAGACCCCGATGTAAAAGGTCGTCCTTGACACTCCCTTCCGGCAACTGACGTCCTGCTCCAGAAGACTGTCCGTCCTTTAACTGTGTGAAGAAGAGAGAGATTACAGTTACCGGCATAGTTTACTATGTTTGCTGTATTTAGTCCACGGTTCAGGCCCTAGATAGGTTTTAGTGACAGAACGTGCAATTTATGTAAACGTACGTGCATAGAACAGCGATTTGCGCCCGTTATGAGTTACGCCAACAGCAACAATCAGGACGAACATAAAAGCATTCAGGATTCACTCGGCATCTATCGACGCAGTTAAGACAATTCAACGAGACGGTATCGAACGAGACGAAGTGGCCTACGATAAAATTAAGCATAACTTACGTGAATTACAGATCCACATTTTGCTGGCGGCGCATTCAATGAGACGTAAATTCTTCGATGGAACAATAATCAGGCCGGGGACAAGAAACGTTTGAACGAAATGAAAGACAACAAAAACGCTATCCGAGATATATACAAAATACAATGATGTGAGTGAAAAAAGGAACTATTGAAGATCGATATTCAGAGATTAGCCATTAATGTACGGAGGATGAAGCGCCTTTGCAAACAATTTGTCAGTCATCTACTAAGCTTAGGCCAGACGCCATTGTATGGTATTCAGCCAAATACGCAACTCACGGTATGACTCAAATCTATATTTTTGCTTTTAATTAACTAATAGTTACTAGATTCTATTCCATGTCAAATATTCGAAAGGTACGAAGACCAATAACTGAACAGAGCGTACGACGAAACCAAATTTCTGTCCTGCTCTCTGAAGTGAAGAGATAATAAAAATAAGTTTTTGTTATTTCTTTTTGTTTTTTCGAACATTTTCTTCGAAAATTTCGAATGTGTTTCACACATAAACGAGTTACTGTTTTCCTAGACCATAAAGTCTATTTGAAATAGTCAAAGTACATTTGTTGGGCATTGTTTGGACCTGTGACGTCTGTTTACCGCTGACCGTAGCCGAAAGCGTTGCAGCATGTATAAATAATTATGCATGCTCGAATAGTCGTTTCGATAACTTATCTTTTCAATTACAAACCGTTTAGAGGAAGCGGCTAAGGCCGTTGAGTGATTAGGCCAGGATAGACTCGGTTGGGCGCCGAACGAGCCGTTTCTCAAACGGATAAAGTTGTTATCTCCGTGTAGATCTAACCTTTGAGCATCGTACATCTCTGTCAGCCTGTTAAACCTATTGTAATTTGGTTTAACCGTTCCGCGTTTTGACCTTTTTTTTTTGTTTCCAGACAATGGCCAACCTCGTTCTTCACTAACGTTGTATTGCAAATGCAACCCCTTATCTTGTTCGCGGTACGTCTGCTTCACTGATTGAATGAGTAATCGACGACAGTTCGTCACTTCGTAGGGAAGGTGCGTTCGAAATCCCTCTGGAACAAATTACATGTTTACGCACTCGCTGATATATCACCAATGATACTTCGGTGGGCCTGCGGAAACATCGTAGACGGAAAAGAAAGCTCACACCGACAAGGTCAAACAGTTCAGTCAGCGGTTTGAAAAGCGCACCTATCGACAAAAGTCGATCGTATCTCGCTTGTTCTAGCAGGTGCATCGCTATATGTCCGACATGGCGCCCAGTAAAGTTAAACGACCAAACGAAAAGGTCGATATTAGTAAGGACGTCAAAACGACAGGAGAGCATCGGGTTGGTGAGGGCCGAGGAGAAAGCGATCTATTAGTGGTTAATAGTGCGGTCGTCAGGTCTGACGCGATAGGCTGCAGTATCGGAGCGGTCGAGGCGTCCATGATGCCGCGCGGATCTAGTAGTCTTGGCGCAGGAGTTGGTAACGGAATCTCTTTCAGGTCACCGCGAGTGATAGGTCTTGTAACGGCGTCGACGTTCCTTCTGTGCTTCCTCCTGTTCGGGGTGATTAACATCACTGCGGGTAAGTCGAAACAAATCAATTGGATTCTTGGTTTTGGTAGCAGGAGCAATTGGTTGAAGGAAAACATGCCTTACCACAACAAATGATATATATTTTTTCAAGGATATACCCCGTTGGGTACACCTTCAGTGGTTGATTATGGCATGAATAAGTTTCGCTTCCATACTAATGGCGCTTGATTGCGTGGACACAACCCTCAGCCAGACTGACCAAGGTAGAAATGTCTAAAGATTCCGGAAAAATGCGTACACTTTCATTCTCTCATGCAAAGCGTGTACATTTTCCTATTTACTTGATAACTGTTTAAAGCAGAAAATTAAAATAGTACGTTCAATTTGTATTATCGTTATAGTGATTCATAGGAGTTAAAAATATCTCTGGGCCTAATGCCAATAATTGTCGCTTCGAACTCTGCCGTAGGGAAAATTTTCACAGAGCTTCCTTCGAATAAAGGAAAAAGCCTTTCTAATTATAGTTATTTGCGCTAATTTTAGAAACCAATTGAGAATTACACATTTATAACAACAACTTAGCCAGTATTCCACTCTTTAAGCTTTTCAAGTGAAACGATTACATCATTTTGTCAGATATCGCTAAGCTTAATAAATTGTTAAAATATTTATTCAATTAATAACTAAAACGCATGCAGTATTTTTATATGGGTGAATTATATACTTAGAGATGTTTTGGTATATTTATTTTTTATAATTATTATAGATACTTTTTACCAACAACGTTTTCGAAAAATATTTGGTTGTAAGATAAACAAGGCCGTTGTTTTGGAGTTTCTTTATTTTGTATCTACCCAGCTTCTACCACTAAAGCGCTTAGGCCGGTTCAACCCGTTCGCAGCATCCGGCTGTTTTTTTCTGTAGAAGCTTTTAGCCTTAAGTTAGGTTCACATTATACTAGCAAACCTAAGTTCGTCAGATGTTGCGCTTTTGAGGTCGGTGGAGATATCTTGGTAGGAGGAACGTATTCACGTTAATGCAGCTGAATGTCATAATCAGACTCTAAAGAATGGCACAAACATACGATAACAATAAAAAATTTAAAAAAAAAATATTATTCTAAAATTAGTTAGGTGCACCCACATCATTGCAAGCATATATTTTGTTATGAGAGGTTTACTTGTTGGAAGACGCCTGCTATGCACTGTACTAGCCGACTTGGACGGTGAGCAAACCTTCCGATGTACATACCTATTTCATTATTACGACGCAGGGTCATTTGCCATGCCAAGGATAAACAGTTGTGGGAAACAGTAACTTCAACGAGTCTAGGCCGACAAGTTTTGCCCGAATAACCGAAGATGCTTGTGGTAGAAGCAGTAAGCGACTGCTGAAACGACGTAGCGGGCGGGATGAAGGAGAACTGGTAGTTTCACACGGTCGTAGCGGTGTTGCGCGCCGTAAACGATGTAGGCTAACATGCACGTCGTACAATGATTTATGATACCTGTATCTCCTGGGCGTTTCTGTGGCCTAGCGATCTTTGCATACGGAAACCACAGGGCTGTCATCGAGAGGAAGATCGCTGGCCAAATAATTTGTATCTTCTCTGTCTTTGCACCTGGAGAGAAACTCTACTGTGGTCTGAGGCAGTGACTGACACTTTAGTCCCATTACCACATGTCATTTATTGTGCTTGTAGCTCATGCCATGTAGGATCGAGCACGGAGCAGACCAGGTTTAGAAACTTTCAGACTACACTCTTTCTTATTAGCCCTGTTATCTTTTAAACATTAGGAAGTCTTAACCAATTAGAAGGAGTCCCTTACCAGCCTTTGGCAGTTATAGGAGACACGCCAGAAAGAGAATGGATATACCGGGAATGAATACAATTATTGAAGGTACATGGAGGACCAGTTTGCTTTTGATACTTCCGAACGAACTAACCGTACCATTTTATACGCATAAGAGGTGCCAGCCATTTTTCTTTTGAATACTATGCATACAGAGAAACTAGTCTAAGGCAGCTTTAAATAGCTTCTACTGTATAGAATATTAAACAAAAAATTACGTGCTGAAGCTACACTAATAGAGCAAAAATCGCTATTACATTGTTTGTAGCACAGGATTTACTTGACAACTTGTTAAACTTCAAGTTATTTTAAGTGTCTTTTTTTACCCACTTTCAGAATATAGAAGAAGATGCAAAGGCATTTTTCGATTACACTCTACGAGGAAAGAACAGCCAATTTGCAGTTGTGCTCTCTGTTATAGTACAGCCAAGTGGAAAATTAGGTTCCCGTAACGCAGTGTGAATAAGGCAATGTCTCAAGCCTACGCTGCCGCTGGATTGATAACACGTTCGCTATCAAAGCTAACCGGCCATAATGGAGGTAAATGGGACCGCTGCAGAGGCTCTGTATTTTCAGCATACACAAGTCCATGCATGGTAGCAGAGTGAAATTTCATAAAAACAAAAAAAAAAAAAAAGATGAGTTATAAGAACGAAAAGTTTTGATTGGCCAAAAAAAAATAGGTATTAAGAAGCGCTGCGCAAAGTCTTTGGCGTTTGCACTAGTATAACTAATTCATATGATTGTACCAAGAAAAATATATTAGTATATGGTAGTGTTTGTCCAAAATGAACTCGAATTCAATACCACGTTAAGGTGTTAAATGTACTGAATGAGGTACTGAGGTATTTCTGAGAACTCTACGTCTCTTTTCATAACCATAACCTTATCCAAAAATTATATATAGATTATCTTCAAGCGTTTCTTTAGGGGCACTCGTGGTGAACTATTTGAGTGAATACAATCGCCGCATGGTTTGATTGTTCCTTTAATTCTTATCCTTCTTATCTTAATTTTTTTTGTTTTTAGAAAAACGAAGCTTAGGCTAGTTGAAATCAAGTCATGCTCTATATAAATAAATTTAACGGACTGAAATTGAAGTTAGTGCCAGGTACTAACGCTGTTAATAAAAAAAAAAAGCTCTAAAAGGTGAAACATCTAACCAAACTAATTTTTGAAGCAAGCCTGAGCAATAGGATAGACGCATGAAAACCAGCTTCGGGATAATACTTTTGCGTTTTTTCGGTTAATATTAGAATCTATTCAGCCTGGTATATGTGACAGATCTATGTGTCGATGTACATATCTATTGCAAAATAGCGCAATAAGTGACGACGGCATAGGCGGTCCACTGCGGAGGCTTATCATCCTGCTTAGGACATTTCAGATGACTTAAAAAATTATTGATTTCGACCTTTCTGATCTAGCGCTAATAAGTTCAGAAACGTACAAGTTTTCGACAGCTGTAAATGGTTGGAACATCATTCGGTGCAGAAATCGACCATGACGTTCTCGTAAACCAAAATTCATTGATATCGTGTAGTTTTTATTCGGAACGTAGAAAATCTTTTGTCCTTAAAGCGCTCATGTTTA